ATAAGTAATTAAAGTGCAGTAGCTTAGTCAATTGGCTCTAAAGTGCTCGAATGGAGTGCGTCATGGAGGACTTAAATTCAGTGCAAGATGGTTGAGTCGATTAAAGTGCTAAGGCTCAGTAAAGTTAATGGACCACCGAGGTAGTAAGTTAAAGTGCTGATGGAGTAAAGTGCTAGAATCACGCTGAATATATATTCACTGTACTTAATAACGGTGCACCATTAGTTCTTAAATTCTCCGTTAATCATTAAGTATAGTTGTTGTTAATTACTGTGGTTAAGATCCCCCCCGCCTCTCGGAGTTTAGGTTGCTGTCCCGAGAGATGTATCAGGTGCCAAAATGGACAGCACAGTCCTTTTAGAGTTAGCGCTAGTGCTCCGCACACACACAATACAGATAGTCAGCACAGTCAAAGAAGATGGTCAGTACAACCAGAGATGGTCAGCACAGTCAAAAGAGGTCAACACAGATGAGGATGGTCAGCACAATCAAAAAAGGTGGTCCACACAGTTAAAGGAGGTCAACACAGACGGATTAAACGATGGTCAACACAATCTGTCCGGAATTGGATACCACGAGATGCCAAAAGATGGCAATAATCAGGCCAAATGATGGTCAACACAGTCTTCCGGAATTGGTAGTTACCAGCCGAAGTGATGGAATCTCGTGTGATGGCGGCAAATTAATCCCGGGCGGGCGAGGGAAGCTGGAGCACTGGAGGCCAGCGCACCAGAGGCCGGCACGGTGGAAGAACTCCAGCGCTAGGCCGGCGTCAGCAATCGCTGGGTTGGGGCTGGAGCGCTGAGAGGGCGATGGAGAACAGGCGCGGTAGAAACCGACGCGCCGGAGGCTGGTGCGATGGAAGGCCCAGCCAAGCGCCAGGCCGGGCGGCAGCAGCCGCTGGGCTAGCGATTGGGGCGCTGGAACGCTGTGAAGGCAACAGAAGACGGCTGGAGGCAGGCGATGGAAGGCCCTCGCCGAACGCCAGGAGGAGGCAGGCGATGGAAGGCCCTCGCCGAACACCAGGTCAGACGGCAGCAGCGGCCGCCGGGCCCAGCAGCCGCCGGGCCGAAGCCGTCGCTGGAGCGGCGAGAGGGCGATGAAAAGCGGCGGAAAGCAGGCGAAAAAAAAAAAAAAAAAAAAAAAAAAAAACAAAAAAACCCCACACCTTCAAACCCCCACCCACCCAAAAAAAACAACAAAACCAAAAGTTAGCAAAAAAACAAAAAACCAACAAAAAACCCCAAAAAAAACCAAAAAAAACAAAAAAAAACCACACTAAAAAAAGGGGGAAAAAAAAAAAAAAAAAAAAAAAAAAACAAACCAAGAAAAAACAACAACAGATTGAAAAAAAAAAAGCAAAAGAAGACAAACCAAACAATCACCACAACAACACAAACAAAAAAAAAAAACAAAAAAAAAAAAACAAACCCCCCCCAAAAAAAAAAAAAAAAAACAAAAAAACCCCACCCAACCCCCCAAAACCCCCCCCCCAACACACCCAAAAAAAAAAAAAACCCTGCCCCCCCCTACCCCCCCCCCCCCCCCCCCCCCCCCCTCCCCCCCCCCACAAAAAAAAAACACACCACAAACCCCCACCCCCCCCCCCGCCCCCACATGCACCCCCCCCCCCCCCCCCCCCCCCCCCCCAAAACCCACCCCCCCCCCCCCCCCCCCCCCCCCCCCCCCCCCCCCCCCCCCCACCCAAACAACCACGAACCAAACTCAGCCGCCCCCCCCCCCGCCCCCCCCCCCCCCCCCCCCCCCCCCAAACCCCCCCCCCCCCGGAAAAAAGAAAAAGAAAACAAAGAGAATTTAAACAAATAAACCTATAAATATATAAAAACGGGCCGGTACCTTTAAGGGCCGAACTAGAAGCGAGGAAGGAAGAGGAGGGGAGTAGCCGCTGGAGCGCCAAGAGGGCGACAAAAAGCGGCGGAAAGCAGGCGATGGAAGAACCCAGCCAGGCCACACGGCAGCAGCGCAGCAGCACAAGCCGTCAGTCAACTCAGGCAGCACTCCAAGCCGGAAAATGGCGGCACGGCTTCACTGCAGTTCGTCCGCGCTCCGCGTCCCGGTCCTCGAGCCCAACAGAAGCGGTAGGCGAGCAGTTTTTTTAAATGTCCTCTTCGATGGTGATAGCCCCCCTGGCCCTCCAACAGCAATGGGGCTGGCGGCAGGGGCTATGGAGGCTATGGGAGAGGTGAGGAGGGAGCGTGTGCAAGGGCCCGTAATGGCGGCGGCCCAGTCGCTCTACCTTCCCCCTTCCTTCTCAAAGCCTTCTTGAGTTCTCCCTCGGTAATGCTCCCCCAGTTTGACTCACCACGGCCACCTTCGTGACCGTGGTTTGTTACTGGTAAAGGAGCTAGTTTTCAAGGGTTCCAGAAGGAGATTTTGGCTAAATTAGAACGGATTTTGTCTCCGTCCCTACCGTAGCTGAGGCTCGCTGCTGTTACCTCGCCGCCATCATACCGGAAGACTCCGGTAAGATGCAGCTGGGAGGCAGAGGTTTTAAAGCCTCCTTTCCTGGCTTGCTTATCTCACCAGTGTGGAAGCGAGGCAGCCAGGACGCCGATCCTCTCCTGTTCTTGCAGGCCGAATGATAGTAAGATGCAGCTGGGAGGCAGAGGTTTTAAAGCCTCCTTTCCTGGCTTGCTTATCTCACCAGTGTGGAGGCGAGGCAGCCAGGACGCCGGGTTAGGCAATGCTTGTCTCTTTCAAACAGGAATTCTCAAACTTTTTCAGTTGCGGAGACTTTTTTGAAGCAAAAGTTTCTTGTGAAGGCCCAAGAAATGTTTATATATTATATTACTAGCCATCCCCTGCCACGCGTGCTGTGTCCCAGTTTGTGTATATGTGCTTTGTGTGTGTATATATTTGTGTATATATGTGTTTGTGTGTATATATCTGTGGTTTTGTGCATGAATTGTAATGTTTTTTTAAAAAAAATTGGCTTTTAAAGTCTCTTCCACTGTGGTTTTTTTTGTTTTTTGTTTTGTTTTTATGACTAATGGTCACTTGTTGGCCTGATACGTGTATTGTGTCCAAATTTGGTGTCAATTCTTCCAGTGGTTTTTGAGTTATGTTAATCCCGCAAACGAACATTACATTTTTATTTATATTGATGGAAAATTTTACACCCCATATTTCTGAAGTCAAGTCAGATAAAATGTCAAACCAGGCATGATCTGTAGATTTGTGTATCTGTCTAGCTAGTTTATATATAAAGTCCCAGGCCGCATTGTCTCCCACTCTGGGTGGAGGGGAAAGAGAGACCATCAGTAAAAGGATCACATAGGAGAAGAGTGTTGAACTTTCTCCTACTTGATCTTGTCTCTGAGGCACTTATTTCCTGGCTCCCATAATGGAAGTGAGATGGAAATGGAGAAGAGTGTTTGTAACAAAGGATTTAAAGGGATGTAAGGCAGAGGAGGGAAGATGTCTTGGCAACCTCTCCCTCATTCTGCTTTTTCTACTAAAATAATACTGACTTTTCTTTTTATGTGTGAAGGAGGCAGGCGCAATTTAAAAAGTGCATATTTCTCCTCTTCGCCTGTCCTTTAATCACAGTGCTTTTAGTGTGTTATGATTCTACCAGACATGACATTCTTTTGATACTCTCCATATTTAGATTCGGTTAAAAAGAGTTTGGGATGATGATGATGATGATGATGATGATGATTGCAACTGTTATTAATTTGATTTATACCTCAACCTTCCTCATAGGTGGTCAACACACATTTAAATTATGCATATTTAATTATGCAAAGTAATACATTTTATCCATCTAAAATACAGTATGTTGCATCCTAGAACAGGAACAGGACCCTCTAACCATTCATTACACCACACCTTGAATGAAGGAAGAGTCCTTTTTATTTGAAGAATAACTGGAGCCAATAAAAAGATGAATACAAAATAAGTAGAAGTCCAAAAGCAAAAAGCCAAAATAAAGCAGCAACATAAGCAGTGTCCAAACATAGGAATAATAACAATGTCCCAAAGCTTGCAGAAATAATCCAAATGCAGTGAAAAACCAAGAGCCTTCAAACTAAAACCATGAACAGACTAGCCAATGCTAATCCCCTTGAAAGGCTATGAATCCTTAGAGACGAGGCCACATGAAACAGGAATATCCAGGAGACTTGAGCTGATTCCAAACGATGCCTGGTCTAAAGAAAATTCTCTAAGAGCTCAATTTAAGTCCCAAAAACTGGTTCCTACTCCCCCCAGTTGTTGGCCTTAACTGCCGAATTCTTTCTGATCTGCGTAAACACTGGACTTCTCGACAGTTCTGGCTGATTTCCAGACGGCGACTGGTCTTATCTATCTCCTCATTAACTGCAGCAGGTGTGAAACTATCTTGCAAACTCAAGCTTGGAAAAGGGACTAAACTTTCTTCCCTTTCTGTGACAGGAACGTTCTCATGAAAACTTAGCCTTTCCCCTGACCCTTCTCGATCAGAGTCTACAGTGACCTTATTGTCCAAAGTGTCTCCATTTTGCATCTCACCCTCATTGATCACATCAGGTTCACTACCCAAGTCAGATCCAGAAACATTAGAAGGGGGAAACACAATCACAGATTCAGGCTTAAACACAGGCTGAGTCCCAACACAGTAAAAGTAATGCCCACCAGCAAGGTAAATAAAACATTAGCTCAGTGGTTCTCAACCTGTGGGTCTCCAGGTGTTTTGGCCCACAATTCCTAGAAATCCCAGTCATTTTACCAGCTGTTAGGATTCCTAGGAGTTTAAGGCCAAAAACATCTAGGGGCCCACAGGTTGAGAACCACTGCTTAGCTTATTCCCTGAAAGCTTGTATAAATAAATGTGTTTTTAACTTGTTGAGGTTTTGCAAGATGCTCCTTTGTGAAGCATTGACAGCGTAGACAATCTCTCATGTCTGTTCTTCAATAAAATAGTTAAACTATTTGTTAGTTACCAAAAGTAAACATAACAATAACAATAACAATAACTTAGACAGGGCCTTCACTTTCAGAACAAGATATGGTGTCTGTCTTGATCAACAGATGTGAGGACACAGGAAGTAGGAAAGTTTTGGAGGGGACTGAATTCTGTGTGGCCACTGATGTGGCAAACTAAGTGCCCTTCTCCAAACAAGGTATGGAAATTGCATCCATCCATCCATCTGCCCTGCAACATAACAGAGACATCTTTTTTGTGCAATTGGTATAGACAGCCCCCCAAAAGAATGGAATGAGTAGATAAGGAGGTGACAACAAATAAAACCCAAGGAGCTATATTGCAATAATTCATATTTCTGGTTGGTGTTTGTACAAAGATTAGAGGAACATCTTTTCTTTCATTTTAAGAAACAAAATTGTTGTCCATCCCTAAACTGAAAATCACTCCAAAATCGTGGTGTGACAAGTAGATTTTTGTATTCTGCATTCCTTATGTGTATGAAGCCTATCAAATTGGAAATTATTCCAGCACTTAGGAGTTCTGGTGTCTTTTCTGATGCTGTTAACCAATACTGTTAAGAAGGTTTGCTGCTCTCTGAACACTGAGCATTGTTATTACTGCCATGAGGCTGATTACCTTGTCTATTGATTTTCATAGCTAGTGTAATGGTTTAAGATAGTGATAGATATTTGGTTGGGCAGTGTAGTCCTGTGCCTGAGTCTGCCTATCAGTCTGTTCCACAAAGAAAGAGGGGAAAGGGTTTGACAGCAGTTGTGCTCATTTCTGGTCTATCAGAAGCAAAAAGTAAAATATACATCTGTAGGCACTTACTGTACAAACCTGTAGGCACTCATTGTACAAACAATGAGCAAACTGACAGCTGATTGCACAAAAGCTGATTTCAGCTGTTGTAATGACACGGGACACTACAAGTGTGTTATTAATATACTTTGGATGCATCCACATTGGCAAGTTTTCGTATGCTCTTGCTGAAAATCATATGACGAACTAGTATAATCCACAGTCCATCTTGTGTCCTGTCACTGTTTGTAGTGGTATAACTAGTTCATTTTAAACCCTTTGTGAACCTGCCTTATTCAGCTATGAGCCTTCCCAGAGTTACAAGCATCCGGCTTACAAATGACTCAGAGTTAAGAGCGGGGGTGAGACAACAGGAAGTGAGATAAATCTACTTCTTGGAAGAGAAATTCACTCCAGAAAGAGTTATTATCATGTGGAAAGGTGTCTCCACTGAAGCTTTCTCACCAATCCTTGTTTTCACAACAAGCCAAATTTACAAAATCCAATTTTCACAGGGACAGAAAGTGAGGTGAAATCTTCTGAACAGGGCGTTGATCCTTCCCTATGCTATCCAAAGCTTATATATATGAGTTACACTTTAAAATGTACCTGTTCGACTTACATACAAATTCAACTTAAGAACAAACTTACAGAACCTATCATGTTCGTAACTTGGGGACTGCCTGTACTTGAGTTGTGAAGCATTTTTTACTTTTCACCTTAAAGTAATTGAGTTCATGCTTTATAATTGCTGGTACATATCTAGTACCATATACATTGGCCATTGAAATCTGCTGGGGTTTGATTCCAGGCCCCACTTAGATAACAAAATCAGTGGATGCTCAAGTCCCATTATATACAATGCCATAGTGAAATGTGTCTCTAGTTTTAAATGGGGAAATCAACATTTGCTTTCTCTCTCTCTCTCTCTCTCTCTCTCTCTCTCTCTCTATATATATATATATATATATATATATCTGAATATGAGGATATGGAAGGCAGACTATGAATACTTGTGTGTAAGTCGAGGGCATGACAGAAATTTGACCCCCCCCCCCCAAATGTGAGTTGATCTATCCATGGGGCAATGCTGGAAATTGATGACAATGATGCTGGTTTGATAAGCTCTGTGCAGTGTGAATGGGGCATGACAAAAGTGAGAGGGGGGTGAGGAAAGCAATCTGCTTTTATTAATGCAAAGGCAGTGGTAAGAGGCAGAGAAGAGAAACCCGTATTGGTGTGACATGGAAGCAGTAGCTTCATCCCATTATCCCTCCCTTGCCCAAGCTAGAGAAAACAAGGCAACCCCCCCTGTTTCCTCATCTTCCGTTTTGACCCTTATGGCATCCCCAGGAGAAACCTACTATGTAGTTTCCCTGGCAATGTTTGTTCAGAGGAGGCTTTCCATTGCCCTCCTTTGAGGTCGAGATAATGTCATTGAGATACAGCGGTATATAAGCAAAGTAAATAAATAAATAAATTTGACCAAGGCCATCCAGTGCGATTTGAGCTTTGGTATCCAGAGTTCTAGTCCAATGCTCAAAACCCCACACTGCACTGAAGAGGCACAATTTTCAGTTTAGTTTTCCTAGAGTGTCTAATGAAGCCCCATATTTCCAGTTCCTAAACCTTGTGGCCTTCATCATAATGTATCTTTGGCATTTCTTTTTTAAAAGGAGAGTGCATGTACCTCATTACTTGTGTCTGTTTATTTCAAATTTAACTTAAACCACTTAACAGTTTAAAAAACGGTGAGTTCTTGTGGGTTTTTTCGGGCTATATGGCCATGTTCTAGAGGCATTTCTCCTGACGTTTTGCCTGCATCTATGGCAAGCATCCTCAGAGGTGAGGTCTGTTGGAACTGGGAAAAAGGGATATATAAGCCCTTTTTCCCAGTTCCAACAGACCTCACCTCTGAGGATGCTTGCCATAGATGCTTGCCATAGATGTTTATATAAGATAACACTATGTAACAAAATTTAAATTTTTTAAAATCAGATTTGAAAGTTTTATTTCCTGTCTAATTGTGCAGTACTGATTTTTAACATAGTTGTTATACTTTGTTTTTGTGAATTCAAACTATGTTGAATTGGTTGAGACTCTAGGAGATATTCGTTAAAAAAACCATAGCAAAATGTGAAAACAAAGTTTTTGCAGTTTAATAACTTTCCCCATGTTTTTATGATAGAACCAATTAGGAAATGACATTTATAACCCAGGAACAAAAATCGTGTTACATAGTGTAATTTAAGTGAACATCAAAAAATTAAATATTGCTCACCAGAGGCCTATGATTGAACGATTGTGACAGATCAGGCTTTGCTTGATTAGAACAGTGACAGGACTACTGGTTCGGAAGAACCTTAGAGTGACAGGTGAGATATAGAATTAGAAGCTCTGATGAATGTTGGCAGTTTTGTCTGTTTTTTTCCTTCCCAACTGCTTTCATCCAGCACTTAAAGGTCTGAGCCAGAATCTACATGGTTTCTGTTTTCTGTGCCTTGCCATCATCTATGGAGATACGCATGTATGCTTTTTATGGTTTATATCAGAATGGTTTATTGAACAGAAACTTTTAGTGATTATAAGAAAACTTCTGTATCAGAGATTATATGCCTCTCAATCCTACTTACTAGACAGCAAGAAAGGAAGACAGTCACGTACATCTTAGTGGCTTCTCAAAGACACTTACTTGGCCATTAAGAACAGAATGTTAGTTTGGGTGGGCTTTTGGTCGGATTAGCTTTTTCTGTGTTCTTAAATTTGAAGGCCACTTTGAATTATTAGGAATTCTTCCAGTGTCTATAATTCACTCCAGTGTTGTTATTTAAACACACTGGCAATTACTTCACAGATTGTGTTTCATGACATACAGACCCTTCGGGGATCTCACGCATGGGGACCAGTTCTGGAGGAGATTACCTCTTTGCCTACCCTGAAAATAGATCCTTGGAAAGAGTATGATTATTGTATATTGGACTGCCTTGTAACATCAAGTCAGATTGCCGGGGAGGTCAGGAGTTTCAAAAATAGCCTTTTATCTTAGTCCTATTTTTAATTCTTGCATTGCCTTTGTTGTGGTTGAGCTCACAAACCAGAGGAAAAAGAATTTCCTCCTTCTCAATCCATTGTCCTTCAGCTGTATCCCTCTCTATTCTTATGTTATGTGGTATTTGAAAAGAGGAGGGCTTATATAACATTTATGGGCCCCTCACTTTCCTGAGGCGTGACAGTTCCCAAGAGTAGCACTATTTATGAGTTTTATATTGAGCTTGAGAGAGCAGGCAGACACCCAGACAGACAGATGGCACCAAATCAGCATCAGTTTTCCCCAAAGGCAGTGAGTGGCCAATACCTTGAGCCCCCAAATGCTCATTCTTCCTAAGAGGTGCCAGACTTTCTCCGTTGCTGGCCATATTGCCGTTCTCAGCTTGTTCCTCTCCTCCCTCTCCCCACCCCTGCATTAGTCTCAGTCCCACATGGGTTGGGAGCTCTGTTTGGCTGGCTCCACTGAAAACACACTACATCACTAAGCATTAGCAGGCATACACTTAAGAATATAGGACCCTTTGCAGCTCTTACAGTACTTTCCATTAAACTGTAAACTAATCATGGATTAAAGGAGGACCACTTTACTTGATTCTTTGCCAAGACCTGTTTCAGTCTCTGCCAATGCTTTTATCCATCTCAGCAATTCTGCCCCTCCCATTTGAATTCACTTTATGCTTTTATGTTGTTCCATTTGGAATTGTCTATAAAATATAGATTCTTAGATACAGACAGGTACACAACAGAACAGAGAGAACCATTGGAGAGGCACCTGTTCTGTGAGGGAGGCATTATGTTCGCATTTCTGTGTACAAACCCACACGATCTCTTCGATCATCTGGAGGGGCCCTGCGCACGCTCCCACCTCCTTCGCAGGCACGATTGGTGGGGACGAGGGAGAGGGCCTTCTCGGTGGTGGCCCCTCGACTCTTGAATTCACTCCCTAAGGACATCAGACATGCCCCAATGCTGGCAGTCTTTAGGAGGAGCCTGAAAACGTGGTTTTCAGTGTGCCTTCCCAGAATAAGGAAAACCCTTAGCAGTATGTCCTCAAATGCACTTTAATATTGATTTAGGATTGTCTGCACGCCCTCATCTTTCTCTGAAAACCCTATCCTAGTTTACCCTACCTTGTTCATGCCCAGCATTTTTAAATTTTAAATTTTAATTATTACATTTGGCCCAGCCATAGGTTTTTAATGCTGTATGTTATTGATATTGTTATTGTTTATTGCTTATTGTGTATTTTCTGTTTTTAAGTTTATTTTAACTGTTTTGTATTGACTATTTGTTATCGCCTTTGTTTATTGATGTGCTGTGGGTTTGGCCTCATGTAAGCCGCACTGAGATGGTAGCGGGGTACAAATAAAGTTTTATTATTATTTATAACTGCCTTCCTAGCACAATCTGTGGTACCTTTGTATATGTGTGTGTAGGTAAGTTGCCTGTCGATGTACAGCGACCCCACATATTTTATAGGGTTTTCTTAGGCAAGGAATACTCAGGGGTGGTTTTGCCAGTTTCTTCTTCTGAAGTATAGCCTGCAATGCCTGGTATTTCTTGATGGTCTCCCATCCAAATACTAGCCAGGGGCAAACATGCTTAGCTTTCCAGATCAAGAAAGGATCTAGTACAGTGGTTCTCAACCTGTGGGTCCCCAGATGTTTTGGCTTTCAACTTCCAGCAATCCTAACAGCTGGTAAACTGGCTGGGATTGCTGGGAATTGTAGGCCAAAACATATGGGGACCCACAGGTTGAGAACCACTGCTCTAGTGGTTTTAGGGCCTACCAAGGAGATGATGAGTGCCACTTGCATTGCTGAGGAAAGGGAAAGTATTCAGTGTTGGCACACTGTGATAACTAGAAGTGGTCCATGCTGTCCAGAGGAGTGAAGTTGACCACATCGTATTGACTCCAGTAGAGCCCACAAAGCATATTTGGATCTAAATGTGTTGTGCCCCTCCTAGGGTTCTCCCCCCCCCCCACCCCTCAGTCTTGCTCATTATAATAAAGCCCACTTTGTTATGAATGTATTAGTATGCACAACAACATCTGATTATCTGTTTGTCCATCTGTTTATAGCAGTGGTTCTTAACCTGTGGGCTGTGGACCTTCAGTGGACCACAAGGACAATGAAGATGAAGGAGGTCCACGAGCCTCCTTCATCTTTATTTTATTTTATTTCTGCTCTTTTCATGCCGCCTGCCACTCCTTCCCTGTCACTGACCATGGCATGTATTCTGTATCAGAAGCTAGAGCTGATGTGGTCTATCCATTGTAATTTTCTGAGTCAGCACCCCAAATCAAATCTAAAGTTGACCAAAACTGATTCATAACACTTTTGGTACTAATGTTGGAGAGTGGTCCCTGGCAGGCCCGTAGCCAGGATTTCGTTTCGGGGGGGGGGCTGAATTTTTCAGGGGGGGTTCGGGGGGGCTGAGTTTCGGGAGGGGGGGCTGAGTCTGAGTGAAAGAGGGTCTAGCCTAGCAAACCTTTTGTATCATTACCCCAATACCCCCATGCATATGGGATATATTGAGTATGGTGATCAGATCATGATATGAATAAACATAACAGTTTAAATAATGCACCAGTAAGGCCTTTTCGCGAACCACCATGAGAATGCCTGGTCCCTGGTCAAGTAGTCCCTGGTCAGATGGTTCCTGGTCAAAGTGGTCCCTGGTCAGGACATCCCTGGTCAAAGTGGTCCTTGGTCAAATGGTCCCTGGTCAAAAAAAGGTTGGGAACCACTGGTTTATAGTATGTTGTTTTTCTCCTCTACCTTAAGAGTGTGGGGAAGAATCTCAAACTGAAAGCACTGTATTTAAAAAAGTGTATTTAATAAATATGTGCTTCTAGCCCTTACTGTTGTAGATTGCCTCGATCTCTCACAACACCAAATACATGCATACATATAGACAGAAATATATGGTTCCAAACAGAGAACTGCACACGATCTCCTTTTCTGCACACGAACGCACGCACACAAGTGCCAATTTATGTGTGAATGTGTAATGAGGTTGTGAGCCATATTATAGCATCCTAAAATTTTATTCCCTTGACCATTAGCAAATATGAATATATGTCTGAAGAATTAGAATATTTTCAAACATCAGCCATCTTTTTCTATATATACACACAAATGTATAAATGTGTGTATTTGGTGATGCTTTTGCTAAATGTTTTCTGTAAGTTACATCTGGAAAGGCTGTTGGGCTTTCTTGCGTATTACTGTTTTCCTTCATCCCATCATCATTATTCTCAAGAGTGCTCTGAGACAGGAAGCATCAAAGGAAGTTATATGAAGCCCAGCCACTTCTTACTAATCACTATAATCCTGCCAAGTCGTAGGACTGATTTACACGCAAGCTTGTAAATGCTAGACACTTTTCTCTCTGCATGTCTGTAGATTTGGCGACTTCAACACCTTCTACACCCGGGGTGTCGGTTTTCTTAGAAGCATATCCATGCATTCCTACACCATGGCATCACCAGACAGGATGAGCAGCTCAGATAATGGACTAGAAGAGACAGAGCTCAGCATCACCCTCACTCTCCGAATGCTTATGCATGGCAAGGTAAGGAAACGGAGATAACTGTAGACCTGGTCCCATGGCACTCAATAACAAAAATCCAATTTGGTCACAATTATTGTGAGGACATATTTCTGTTCAAACCTAAGTCCACAAACCCACTGGCATATCTCCAAACCAAGATGGCTTGAAATACTCCCTCCACAAAAATATAAAATATATTTCTGTAGTATATAAGGAATCATGAGATGGAAATATAAATGAACAGCTTTCATGTTTAGTAAATTAAATTAGCACAATACAAATGCAGCATAAGGTTTCAATAATTAAAGAGGTAGGACTGGCGATGGTGAGCTGGAAGAATAATTTACTCATTGAGCTGATAACTCCTAAATATTTTTATAATTTTGTTTTCTGATAAGAAGAAAGGGAGATTTATTGTTTCTGATTTGAAGTATGTAGACATTGTCAAACTCTTGCTATATGTGTAATGTGCGTTCAGTTCACCTTATGATATGCCCATAGGGTTTCCTTAGGCAAGGAATCCCCAGTGGTGGCTTTACCAGTTCCTTTCCCCAAAATATAAGCTATATCTCCTGGGAGCCATTGACAGTCCCCCATCCAAGTACAAACCAGATCTGACCCTGCTGTATGATCTTATTCCCTTCTAATTCAATTTCTTTTTTTAAATGTTTTTTCCAGGAAGTTGGCAGCATCATTGGCAAGGTAAGTCTTATGTCGGTTGTCGTGTGTCTTATTCTCTTTTCGTGTCTCAAACTGTGGAAACCTGATTAGTTTTGTGTCTTCGATCTACAGAAAGGAGAGACTGTGAAGAGAATACGAGAACAGGTAAGTGTAATGAGGGAAAAGTAGCCCCATTCTGAATTTTGGGTTGGATTGGCTTTCTGTTATATGGCCTCCTATGCCATGGAATAGCTGAGAATTCAATTAATGAATGTAGTACTTACTTACTTAGGCGATTCCTCATAGCCCGAGGATGATGGTCCTCCAAGTGTAGTGTCTGGTGGTGACGCCATAGGTGGCTGTGGAGCCCTATTCTTGATCTGCATGTTCGCAGTGAGAACATCGGTTTCCAGGTGGAAGGCGGTCCCAGTCAGGATTGGCTTGACGCACCTTCCTCTTGGCACATTTCTCCCTTTCAACCTCCATTCATGCCTCTTTGAATTCACAGCTAACCTCCAGTTAGAGCACTCAAGGGCCAGTGCTTCCCAGTTCTCGGTGTCTATGCCACAGTTTTTAAGGTTGGCTTTAAAGCCCATCCTTAAATCTCTTTTCCTTTCCACCAACATTGCATTTCCCATTCTTGAGTTGGGAGTATAGAAACTGCTTTGGGAGATGGTAGTAATATATAAAATAGAGACAGTAACACTATCCTGCCTTACAGGGTTGTTATAACTATTTATGATAATGATTTGTTTACTTGTTTAGAGTACAGCCTGGATCACCATTTCAGAGGGATCTTGCCCAGAGCGGATCACTACTATTACAGGATCCACTGATGCAGTTTTCAGAGCAGTTTCCATGATTGCTTTCAAGCTAGAAGAGGTAGGTTACCTCATCAGTACAATTTCAGGAAATTTCAGAATGGGCAAATGTGTCAGAAAGTTGGCCATGTTTCGAGTGAAACTCCGCCATTCCTTTCTGTAGATTTCTGAAGCAATACCCCAAAGGATGAACTCATTTTTTTTTTAAAAAAAAAAAAGCTTGCCAAATGAGTTTTGGGGTGTATTCGTCCCTCACTCACTAATTCAGGATATTTTTGTGCTTTGTATCATTTCCTTTCTTCCTCTCCCATGCTTCCTTTCGAGGTTTTTAAAGAAAACCCTAAAAAGCTTTAGTGCTAAAGCTGTAGGCTCCAATAATACTATTTCTATCCTGGGAAACCTGATGGTGCCCCCAGGAAGCCAAAGAACGCAAGATTAGGAAAATAAAGGAGGGGTGACATCATTGTCAAGTTTTCTCCACTTGAGTTCTTAAGAAAGCTTGCTAAATATGTTTGATCAGCCCCCGGATTATGTGGTGGTCTTAGAGGGGAAGAGGGAAGGAGACAGGCACCATCAAGCTGCAGTCACTATTGGGTAGATGGGGGATTGCTTTGATACATCCAGACTCAGCAATAGTATGACTTTAGTGTTAAAGCTCTACAGAGGTTTTTTAAAAAAAGTGTGTGTGTTGAAATGGGATTGTAGGAGAAGAAGGAACGTGCTGCTGCCAATGCAAATCCTTCTGCCCCCCTTTTAAAGACATGGGAGTGAAAGAAGCGACAGGAAGGGACATGAAATGGTGTGGGAGAAATCAACCCAAATTGCTCGCGTGTACAAGTTCTCAGATTAAATTTAGTGCAGAAAGAAATATATTCTTTCTCCACATAAATTAACAAACTAACATAGCAACTGTGCCACGGAGGGCAGAAATGGATCAGCTGTCTAAAATTTCCTTAAGTCAAGTGAGGAATATTGTTCCTTTGTTAAAACTTGTAGGCTTCGTGCAGAACACAGAACGAAGACAATGGGCACTTTGTTTATAAGAAAAATGGGTTTTTTTATTTGTAATGTTTTGGAACACAACACACTTTACAATAGTAAACCACACTCCTTGTTAAATATTATGATTGAACACCAATATATTTTATTTTAAAAATCTGTATGATTTAATTTTTTAGAAGAAGAAAAAAATGCTTATACTAATTTGAAAGACATTGGCCTATGCCTGGAGAAGATTTTGAAATCACACTGTCTAATCATACGATGCATCTACAATGTAGAAATAATGTAATTTGCACCACTTTAATTGCTTTGGCCCAATGCTATGGAATCCTGGGAGTTGTAGTTTTACAATGTTTTTTGCATTCTCTGCCAGAGTGTTGGTGCCTCACCATACTAAAGCTACATGAATCTATAGTATTGAGCTATAGCAATTAAAGTACTGTCAAATTACATTAATTCTACAGTGCAGATACACCCTCAGTCATGGTTAGGATATCAGGCAGTGTTATGGAATAATCAGGGGCTGCTCAACCCATTATGCAATTTGCAGTATAGTTGATTTTGCCCAGGGGCACTCTTGAGGCGCTCTTGGGGGAAAATAGACCATGACATATGCGAGTTGTAGTTACTGGGATGTATAGTTCACCTACAATCAAAGAGCATTCTGAACTCCACCAATGATGGAATTGAACCAAAGAAAATATATATCAGTGATTGGTTGGGGGGGGGGGCAAAATACTGTTTGCTTACCATTGAAAATTACCTAGGGCTGACTCTGGGAGTAATGCCGGAATAGTCTTGGCTGTTTATTCCCCCCCCCCCCCCCCCCCCTGAAATATGAATACTATCAAATGAGACAGCTTTGGAAATCTAATTGGATGGGATTATGGGGGAAGAGAGCGAAGCAGACCAGCAGAGGACTTTTTTCTAGTACCATAAGTATAAAAGTGTATAGCAATTTCTTATTCCAGGCACTGGAAGAAAGGAAGTGCACAATGGATTGGTACCTACTTTATACTTAAGGAGATTTGAAGGAATCCATCCAATTTTGAACCTGTTTTATTTTAGGACTTGGGAACTGGAGCAATCAATGGCGGAACTGTCTCCAAACCACCTGTCACATTACGGTTAGTCATCCCAGCCAGTCAGTGCGGCTCACTCATTGGCAAAGCAGGAGCGAAAATAAAGGAGATTCGAGAGGTAAAAACTAAGTATTATTTTTAGAAAAGCGTGACCTTTTAGAGATCATAACCTTTTAGAGAAGAGCCAAAAGCCTGTTTGAATAGAATGGTATGCAACTGAATGTAATTATGCAAGGTAATTGGCTTCAGTTGTTAGACTGAATAATCTGTTGTTTCTGATCTGTTACGACAACAGAGATCTGTTACGAAAACAGCAGTTCTTCACAAGTATTTTTCAATGCCCAAAACATATCTACTCTCCCATAAAACAGCTTGTTTTATATTATGCACTCAAGAGACAAAATAAAATGGATTTTGGTAAAAATAACATATTTGGTTTACTCACAACCTTCATGTGTTCAGCATACACAGGTACACAACTTATTAGTCAGTTACAGATATGTTTGAGATAGTTTGTGTGCCATCCAGTCAGAACATCTCTCTACAATAAACAGCAGACAAGTGTTTTGCAAGTCTATGATCTGAGCAGTCCCAAAGTCTAAAGAAGTCTGTGGTCTGTGCTTGTCTCATAGTGGATCAGGTGGTCTGCAGCCCCTCCTACAACTTCTCAGGAAAGCATAGAGCAAGGGAAAAAACTGCACAGCAGAATATTCATACAATAATTAAGCAACAGGATTATAGGTAAACAAATTACAAGAGAAGATTTGAAGAAGGTTGTAATTTCCAACACTTATAGTGATAATTATTTCTCCCTCTTTTTCTTATTCATATCTGACTTACTTGACCATGAATACCACTTTTTGAACATTTGTTTTTTGGTACCTTACTGTTTTCCTTTCTGGATTTCATTGTTGTTATTGATCCTACACTAACAGAGTAAGATCTTTTGAAATGTCAGAAACCTTCTCCTGGCCAGAAGAACCTACTAAAACATTCCTTCTTTGAGAATCCAATTTTTCTTTGAGTTTTTTTTAAAGTGTATTAATGTCTGTCTAAGAAGTTATAAATTCAGCATGGACACCAAGATTTTCTGGCCTTGTAAATACTGGGCCAGATGGCATTTCTAACAAGAGTGCTCTCCCTGTTTATTAGACTGTCCAGAAAGACTAAGGATGTGGTTCTTGCTCTTGTTCTTATTCTAGACTACAGGAGCGCAAGTACAAGTAGCTGGAGACCTCCTCCCCAACTCCACAGAGAGGGCTGTGACTGTATCTGGAGTGCCAGATGCCATCATCCAGTGTGTGCGGCAGATTTGTGCTGTTATCCTAGAGGTATGCTTCTCCTTTCCCTTGTATCAAGCAGAGTCAAACATGTACAATGTGTGACCCGTCCTACTATTATTATTGAGAGGTGGCACTCCATGAATGAATGTCTCCACATTAGACTGAATGACATCTTCTTTGAAACCTCTGATGGATGAAGTTCATTCATGGTGGTGTCAAAAGTAGAAGGAAAGAAGTATTACCCCCTCTCATGGTAGCAGAAACCAAGGTTATCCAAAGACACAAAATGGCAGGAAATTCAGGAGACCCAACTACTTTTTTACAAAGCAATTAGTTGAAAGTTTGAATTTAATTTCCACAGATGTAGTAACAGCTGCCCTCTTGAATGGCTTTAGATGAATTAATGGAAGACATGGCTCTGAACGGATTGCTTATCATGACATATAATATGAGAGGCATGCTTGCAAATACCAGCTAGTGGGATTAAGAATTGCTGTTTCACTGTCTTTTTATGGATATTAAATAGGGCTGGGCGGTTTCGTTTCGTTAATTCGTAATTCGTTAAAAATTCGTTATTTTTTTATAACGAAGCGATAACGAACCATTCTGGAGCAACTTAAAAACGAAACGAATTTTTAAATTCGTTTCGTAGATGCTTCGGATTCGTTATGTATTCGTTTCGTTATCGGTTTGAGGTCGTTTCGTTATTATTTCCGCATGTCTGGGGCAAGTTTTATAGTTGTTTTTTGTTTAATTAGTGAAAAAAAATTATAATATCACACCAACAGTCAACAACAGAGGGAGAGGGAAGCTTCAGAAGTTCCCCCTGTCCCATTTGGAGGTTTTTTAGCGTATTGCGCGGTCGCGTCCGCCATTAACGAATCGATCCGTTATTGTTTCGTTAATGTTTCGTAATTTTTTTTACATTTATGAAATTTTGTAAATATCGAACTTTTTAAAAGAAAAATTTCGGAATTCTTTTAAATATCGAAACGCAAAAACCCCCAAAAAACGAATCGATTTTAGAAACAAATTTTTCCGTTGTTACCCAGGCCTAATATTAAAGGCTCCTCCTGATTGCCCAATACATTTGGGAAATACCATGGTATTCTCTTTCAATATTTATACATTGTAATGGCAGAAGCAGGAGGAAAAAAGATGCACAGTTCTTGCCAGAAGAGCACTAACTTGGGACACATTTTGATCACCAAAAATCACTATAAGGAAAAGGTTGAAATCACTCATCTTGTTGCCATTTATCAGATTTGCAGCCTACTGTTTCTATTCCTTGGTGTTGTTTTTGTCTGGACTTATATCAAACCAAGCCATGGGTTCTCCTAATTTGGCACTGTTTAGACTGACTGTCAGTAGTTCTCTGTGGTCCTAGGCAAGGGTGTTTTTTTTGCACTGCCATCAAGAGGAGTGAATCTACAATTTTCTATCCATATTTTGCCACTGAACTTGGAGGCAGCTTATTTATCTTTGTAAATCTTTCTGGGAAAAACTAATCTATCCCAGAGGTATATTATAATAGTTTCGGCCCACATGAATATTATCAGAAGCCCATCTGAAATCTCTTTCAAAGTTAGCCCTGCTACACAGCACTCAAATATATGCCACCCTTTTTTCTATCTAGTGGGAATTGTGCAGTCCTCCAGATATTGCTGAACTACTATTCCCAGCAGCCCTAGCCAGCAAAACCAACTAAGAAAAATGATGGGGACTTCAGTCCAACTATATCTTGAGGGCCACATGATTTCTACTCCAACCTGAACACAAAGCAAATGCCTTGATCAAATGGGTGTTGGCTAAAAGTATTCCCAGTCACCTAGCACAGTGCCAATATCTATTTCATAACTCAAGTGAGTCGAGGCTATCATAGGCATTTGGATGCAGCTGGGTGTACATGTGAGTTGTGTTTTATATAAATATAGAATGGCATCTTCTTTTGTCTCTTTCAGTCACCACCAAAAGGTGCCACTATTCCCTACCATCCCAGCCTCTCCTTGGGACCAGTTCTTCTTTCAGCCAATCAGGTAAGAGAGACATAAATCCTCAGGAAATATTTTGGCTTTGATTTTGTTTCTGACCACTTAATGTGTCGTGTGAGAGCCAGAATGTGTAGTGGTTTGAGTGTTGGACTACGACTCTGGAGATCAGGGTTCAAATCCATTTTGAGACATGAAATTACACTTAGTTATGCTGGGTAGGTCACACACACTCAGCTCAAGAAAACTGTGATGGGATTTCTTTAGGGTCACCATAAGTTGGAAACGACTTGAAGACACAGCAATAACTAAATATGTAGTGTAAAATATCAAGTCAGGCTGGAGCATACTTCATGGAAATCACTCTTAACTTTCTTACTTTCGTGCATTCCTTTGTCATGTGATAGGATACTTTCTGTTAGAGGCATTGCAGAATATAAAGGCAGAAAAGCATCATTACTCTTGACTGATGGAATGTACAGACAGGGGAGACTAAACCCAGGGCCTTTTCCACACTGCTCAATTAAAGCACTACAGGTACATTTTAATTGCCATGGCAACACCTCAGGGAATCCTGGGATTTGCATTTTAGGGAGATTTATTTACAGTTCTCAGCAACAACTACTTTGGTTGCTCACTAAACTACACCCAGGATTTCATAGGACACAGCCATGGAGTTAAAATAAGATGATAGTGTGGGGTTAATAAGTATTACAAAGAGTATATGTAGAGCAACAACAGTATTCTTAGTCAACAAGTTCATTTCAACCCTTTCACAGGCTCCTATGTTCTATCCAAAGTCGTTCAAAATTATGGTTTTCTTGACATCAGTTTTTACAGGATCCCCCTCTTGCCACCTGAGAGCTGAGTCTCCTAATCTCCTCTTGACAAATGCCATCACAATTCCTCCAACCATTTCCCTGGCAGCCCTCCATCTTGGGATCACTCTGTTGTTCCAATGTATCATTTTTTTACTTGACTTTGATCTTATCTGGTGTGTCATCAATCCCAATTTCTATTGTCTCCACCACATGTGATTCCTGATTCATCTTGGATTGGTCAACTTCATAAACTAGATTTCCGAACCTAGTGTCCATTGATTGGATTTTATATGAAACGTTTTTTTTATGTCTTTTTGTATTAAATTAAGTTAGTCAAATTTATTAGACACCTTCTAATTTAGTTAGTCAAATTTATTAGACACTTTCTAATTTATTATCCATCATTTGAACTTTATTTGAGATGGAGTCCCTGGTGATGGAGTGGGTTAAACCACTGAGCTGCTAAAATTGTTGACTAAAAGGTTGCAGGTTCTAATCCACTGTTAGCCTAAGCGTCTTCCAACCTAGCAGTTCGAAAACATGCAAATGTGGGTAGATCAATAGGTACCGCTCCGGCGGGAAGGTAATGGCACTCCATGCAGTCATGCTGGCCACATGACCTTGGAGGCGTCTATGGACAACGCCGGCTCTTCAGCTTAGAAATTGAGATGAGCACCACCACCCAGAGTTGGACACGACTAGACTTAATGTCAGGGGAAAACCTTTACCTTTAATTAATTATAGTCTGTTTAATTTGTTGTTAATTTTACTTCATAGACTCAGGGCATTACACATTCATTTATATGAAATTTGAAATGTCTTATTATGTATTATTTATTTCACATATTTGTCCCATATTTGTGCCCAGCAAATTCCCAAAGGAAGATAATAAGCATGCCAGAGTAGGAATAATAAGAGAAGCAAAATAATATTCAATGAATTCAACTTTTTCAGAACTGGAAGAATAACAAAACCAGATAATGTTTATAAAGGAAAAATAACAGCTGCGCTTTATACTGAGCTAATTTATAGGGATATTGCTCCTCAGTGTTAATACTATGCTTGGAATAAACATTACTTATTTTCTTAAAATTGTTTACCCTTGCAAAATTCTAGCAAACTGACTGTGATGCATATAGAATTGGCTTTAGTAAATATTGCCAACCTAGCACAATGAAGAAGTTTAAACTATTTGTTAAAATTAAAAATTAGTTACCAGATGGCCAAAGATGTGTGAGTTGAGGCAGAAAAATGTCTAGTGACAGCATAAAATCAAATCACAGCTGTGTATCAATGTTGTTAGCCAAAGAAATGAGGAAGACTCAGCTCCTGCACACTGATAAAATACAAGTACAAACCCAGAAAGTATTGGTATCAGCATACAGGTTATTTATGAGGTTGTAAACCTTTTAATATGCTGCCCCATTATTTTAAATGTTCTTTGCTGTGATACTTAACTGTTTGGAGTATTAAATTAAGAACAACAATATTTAATCTCCTTTTCAGTTGGAACCTACTATGATTTCGATTCAAAACTTTGTGTCAGTTACGCAAATCAGGATGTTTAACACATTTAAGTATCAAATACAGAACTATTCCAAGTATTGTAAGAAAAGTAGTGTTCTCCATTGGTTAAGTTGTTAACATTTGATTTGGAAAAGATTGTTTGCTAGGGCTATTTTTAAAGTAAGTATTGTTTCTATTTACTTGATATTTCGATCTTGTTGCTCAAAGGATAACAAAGACAGAAATTAATATAGTAGTCAGCCTTCCGCATTTGTAGGATAAGCTTTTGTGGATTTGATTTTTGACATAATTGATTAATGTGTTCTCTTTAGGAAAATCAAGGTTCTCCAGCTCAATTTTGTGGTCAGCTTCCAATGGACAGTGACCATAAAGTTGCACTGAAACTGCAAAATCTGGTCAGTGTAGACTTGTATAATCTAGTTTAGCCACATTGAGTTGTATGATATAGGTCTACACTGACCATATAATGCAGTTTTAAACCGTTTTATATGTTATATGTTTATACATAGGGCCTTAGACAGATGTTCTTTTGTGTTAAAACTGAGTTTTTTATTCATTTTTTTTTACTTTTGCAGGGGTCCTGTACCCCTAACTCCCACAAAAGTGGAGCACCTCCTGGCATGTTATAGTGTGCCTTTAAGTCCTTTCAGACTTAAGCCAACTATAAGGTGAACCTATTACTGGGTTTTCTTGACAAGATTTATCTAAGGTGGGTTTGCCACTGTGTTCCTCTGAGGCTGAGAGAGTGTTACTTGCCCAAGGGCAGCCAGTGGTTTTCATGGTCAAGCAGGAATTTAAACCCTGGTCTCCAGAGTCATAATCTAGCACTCAAACCACTACACCACAATGACTGCATATATACATCTGGCTTTTTCTTACTGACGATGTTCTGTGCTTTAAACCTCCATGAAAGGTTTCTATTTGCTTGTTTGAGGTACTGGGCATGATGGAGACAGCTGGTAACATTTCTGTACTGTTTTTTCTGATGAAATGTCTACTTTCTCCTGATATGTACATGAATTTGGGATTTGCATGCAGCAAGCAAAATACAAGGTGTTGTGTGGATGGGTGTGGATAAAAAAATAAGTGTATCACTTCTTATTCCGATACACTTTGGGGTAACTCTTTTATCATCTCCCTCCTTTCCCTAAAATATCTAGGGATTTTCTATGCAAGGACAATACGGTGGAATATCTCAAGCAGAGGTAAGTGTTGCTTTTTGGTCTCAGTAAATACTGGACTTTTAACTAGCACTCCAAGGTATTTCCATTTGCTTTAGGTCTAGTGCCTCCAAAATTTCCCCTTATGTTGATTATCTTGTTTTTCTTGCTTCCTCATTCCTGCCTTCCTTCTATTGAGATTGTAGAGTATGGCAGAATTCATGACTTTAGGCCCCTTTCACAGAGCTGGATAAAATCCACATTGAAGTGAATTATATAGTAGTGTGGACTCAAGATAATCCAGTTCAAAGCAGATATTCTGGCTTATCTGCCTTACTTTTCTGGGTTATATGGCTGTGTGGAAGGGCCCCCATACAACAAGACCAGATTCCTTCACTTACTTGATTTAGCTTTGTTAATTTTTAACTGCTCAGGCAATTAGTTTAGTTTTAGGAAAAAGCAGTAACTTGGTTCCTCAGCCACCAATCCAACCTCTCACGAGTCTAGTTGGCCTCTGTAATCAAATTAGTATCCACTAGCATTAAGGGCTCCAAAACTGAGTATCATAGGAGGCTACCTTTTAGAAGGAGCTCTTGAGAAATGCTTCCCAAAAGTCCTCACAAAGCACGTTGCTATGGATGAATATCAGACATCACTAAAATGTCATTTATCTTCACACTTTTAGCAAACTGGTAACACTGTTCTTCATCCAGACACTTAAGGCTAGGAAACCAGATAGAGGATCCTAGGGTGGGAACAAATCTGTCCCTCAAACCCCACTTTGAGGATCTCATGTATAACTGATACTTCTTCTGCAATTGCTGATTGCACATTCTAAGCCAATCTTAGAAAATTATTTTTTGGACTACAGCAGTGGTTCTTAACCTGTGGGTCCCCAGGTATTTTGACTTACGACTCCCAGAAATCCCAGTTAGTTTACCAGCTGTTAGGATTTCTGGGAGTTGAAGGCCAAAACATCTGGGGACCCACAGGTTGAGAACCACTGGGCTACAGCTTTCTGAAGTTGCAATGTGTTGTAGATCAGCCTGAGATTGATGGGTTCATGGATGTTTTAGAGGGGATTCTGGGATTGCCTGTGGGATTTCCAGGGACAAAAGTGATGAAGATTTAAGTCAAGGTAATGATGCATCTTTCACTGACTGGAAAAGTGCAGGCCTTCAAGGTCAGTCAAAACAGTCAGAGACATTAGATAAGGAGGAGTCGGGCGGAGAAATAAGTGATACTGAAGGCACCCAGGAAAAAGCACCTGGAGACACAGAAATCAACGTAGGCCTTCATTCACAGATCACAGGAGAAAATAGACATCACAGGGCAGAGCATTTGCGTGGGAAAATTGGGGGGGGGGGGGGAGATTCCCTGGAAGACAAAATGCTTTCATGGGTGGCTTTTAATTGGCAAGTTGTTTACTTTAAAATTAGTTCAAGCAACATAGTGTTTTGAGTAAGAAGCTAAGCCTGAGTTCCTGGTTCCTAAACTGTTAGCCTATATTCTGCACTCTTACGTGGTGCTGTTGTCATAAGGGTTTCCAGGCCTGGGGTGCAACACAATGGAAGTTTCTGGGAGTTGTCCAAAAAGTTGCTGTTCTGAACTCTGATTCTGATATCTGTTAATACCTAAGACTTATATGTTTTGCACTTTACTGTATGCAGATATTGGTTCCTTAAGAGTGTAGGATTTCAAACCTCCTTTCAGCACTGCCAGATTGAGGAAGCTTTCTTCATTCTAGATAATGATTTTTTTCCCATGCTGTTGTTAGCATGTCCGATAGGACATTCATCTATTTTTTTAATAGTCAAGATGAATACAAGTATTTTGAAGTGTGTCTCTATTGTCTTCCCCTTGCACAGGTGACAAAACTGCAGCAGCTTTCAGGACACCCTGTCTCGTTTTCTTCCTTGGGACAAACTCCATCAATAGTAGCAGGTGAGCATTGTACTAAGTGCTTGGTAACCAGATCTCTAAAACCACTTAAGCTCCCAGGGTCATCTGCAGCTCTGGATCTATAGAGGCTGACAGAGAGGATCAATCAATAGGTGCCCCAGCTGCCTTTGTGATGCACTGAGGCACTCAGAGCCCTATTGAAGGGCAATAAAGCAATAGTCATTCCTGGAAAGGGAGAATGCAGAGACTTCAAAGAGCTAAACAAAATAGCAAATTGATGTTGATATATTAAAGTTCTGATGTCAGTGGAGAGGAGAGGGGAGAGTATGGGTAATAGCAACCTTCTTCAAGCCTCCTGTACTATTTATTTGTTTGTATATAATTCAGATCGCTTACTGTATTGTATATGTGTGTATTGGTATGTAGTTTTCCTTAACTCCGTGTTGTGGGATTTAGGACTGTTCATATCTCAGACTCCCATTTCAGAAACAGTATGCTTTTAGAAGTCTGTAAATACAGAATGCTTTACAGACTCTATTAGACTCCTAGATTAGAAAGATGCTTTGTGAGTTATATTTGCTTACTGCTTTGTGTTTTATTGATGTGTTGTTGGGCCTGGCCTCATGTAAGCCGCCCCGAGTCCCCTTGGGGAGATGGTGGTGGGGTATAAATAAATAAATTATTATTATTATTATTATTATTATTATTATTATTATTATTATTAGACCAGTGGTTCTCAACCTGTGTTTTGGCCTACAACTCCCAGAAATCTGTACAGAGAAACTGATTCAAATCCTATCTGTAACTGGATTGATAAGCAATGTACCTATATGCTGGTTACATGGTTTGTGAGTAAACCAACTATGTTATTTTAACAAAGACTACTTTATTTTTGGTCTCTTGAGAGCATGATTTAAATCAAGATGTTTTAAGGGAGAGTAGATGTTTTGGGGAAAACTGAAAAGAACATTTCTGAAACTCTGCTTTTTTCTTTTTTTCTTTTTTTGTGCATTTGCATATTTTTGTTTCTAACAGTTCAAAGAGATATCTAGGTATATCAGTCTAACAGCTGAGAAACCTAATTGCCTTTCATGAGTACTAGTGGATATTTACCACTAAAGAGAAGGTTGACTCAAGCGAGTTTTTAACTCTTCTCCGGAAAAATCATACTTTACAAAAGGTTAGGATCTCTAACAAGGTCATGTCTTTCCAAAGCTTATGATTATTCCAAATAGTGTGAATGCCAATTAATCTCCAAAGAGAAATTCCTGGTTTTCCCAAAAGGTTATAAATAACAATTTTCCAAAAGAGAGGAGTTGGCCATAATGCCCCCTCCCCATAAAGCAGTATTTTTAAGCTAGAATGGAACAATTGGGAAAGTGTTTGTGCTCTGCCATCAGGAAAGTGCAGTGTTGTATGGATACAATATTAACTTGGAAGAGTAATGTCTGGTAAGTGCATCCACAAAGACAAAGGAGTTGCTGATACTATTTCTGAAAATGTCTGAATGCTTGATTATGGACATAATTAAGTATTCTGAATGTAATGGAATAGAATGGAATGACACTATGAGGATGAGATTAGAGGGCAATTAAATACAGAAAATATTGAACATATTAGTCATTCAAAACACATTGTATGAAAAGAAAGTTATCCTGATTCAAAACTCTGAACATAGAACAAAACTTGCTAAAGAATACAAGTCATGAAAACAATGGGAATATTGCAGACTGAATGGGAATTATTCAACATAGTGGATCCTTATAACAAGGGCCTTAAATGGGAATTCAGGAGACTGGATAGTTTCAGATTGTTGTGGTTGCCTAATATCCATTATGAACTTCAATTTGGCATAATTCTGTCTGAGATTGTCAGCGTTTTCCCCAGAAAAGAAAAATAAAAGAGAGGCAAAGAATACATCAAGCAAAAAGGAAACTGAAATCAAAAAAGCAGAGAAACAGCCCTTAAATTAGCTGTGCCAAACCTCTATATTTGCAATGAAACACATTTATTTATTTATTTAGCAATAAAGATCTGAATACGAAAAGAGCATTGAGTTAAATGTATTGTTGAAGGCTGTCATGGCCGGAATCATGGGTTGTGAGATTTTTGGCCTATATGGTCATGTTCCAGAAGCATTCACTCCTGACGTCTCGCCTGCATCTATGGCAGGCATCCTCAGAGGTTGTGAGGTCTGTTGGAAAATGGGGTTGATATATCTGTAGAATGTCCAGGGTGGGAGAAATAACTCTTGTCTGTTGGAGGTAGTTGTGAATGTTTCAGTTGGCCACCTTGATTAGCATTTGATGGCCTAGCAGTTTTCAAGGTGTGGCTTCTTACTGCCTGGGGGAATCTTTTGTTGAGAGGTGATTAGCTATCCCTGATTGTTTCTTGTCTGGAGTTCCCCTGTTTTTGAATGTTGTTCTTTATTTGCTGTTATGATTTTAGAGTTTTTTTTAATACTGGTAATCACATTTTGTTCATTTTCATGGTTTCTTCCTTTCTGTTGAAATCGTCCACATGCTTGTGGGTTTCAGTAGCTTCTCATGACAGACCATGGTAGTTGATAGAGTGGTCTAGCATTTATGTGTTCTCAAATAATATGCTGTGTCCAGGTTGGTTCATCAGGTGCTCTGCTATGGCTGACTAGTCTGCAGTGCCTTTCGTGTTTTCTATTCGTGTTGGGCACTGTGTTTGGTGGTCCCTCTGTAGCATTGAGTTAGGTCCAAATTTTGACATCTCGGGAGTTAAAATGTTAACCAGAAGTAGAGAACAGGCATAAAAACGTTTTAGAGTCTTGATTACAACTAGATTGCACAGTGGAATAAAAAGCAGGAAACAATAAAATCATCGGTGTCTCTGTTGGAAAATCTCTGTCTGCAGAAAAAATTGCATGAGGAATAGGAAGAACATCCTCTTTTACAATTCATGTGTATATGTATCCTGGATCTTTGGAACAGAAATGAACAGCAGAAGATGCACATTTGAGTTAAAACTGGGTTATCTGGATAAAAATTAGGATTGTTTCTTATTTTATTGGAAGACAAAAATTGGTTGGGAGATGGGGTCTGTGGCATGCAGGGAGAGGCAGGGAGGGGCTTCCTCTCTCTGGAATTCGACTGAGACCGTCTAAAATTAGTCCAGTGTAATGTGACCAAAGCAAAACGAAAGAAAACAAAAGGCTCTTCTTGCTCTGCAGTAGCTGGGAAGCCATCCAGTCCCTTGTGAGCCTCCCCACACCCTCCCTCTTTGAGGTGTGGTATGTTGGAAGGAGCTTTAGGATGCTACACATTGCATTTCTTTTGTAGCCTTTGAGCTCCCCTCCCTTGGGAAAATTAGGATGATCAGATATCTGCCGAGGAAGCATCCTGGAGAACCCCAGTTAATGCTGCTCTCTTTCTTTCTCTCTCCCTCTCTCTCCAGGCCTGGATACAAACTCTCAGAATAGCTCCCAGGAGTTCCTCGTACCCAATGATGTAAGTCAGGCTTTGCTGCACATTATGTCTCATCTAAATTTGTTTGTGATTTGATGGCCTTCCCTTTTGCATCGCTGTCAGTACAGCCACTTCAGAACAATTCCGCATGATTCGCACCACCAGAAAGGCTGATTCTGTCACTGAAGTCGTGCCCTTTCTCAAGAAGTCTCCCTGCTCTGTTCACACATATCTAACAGACAGCAGCTGACATCTTGTAAATGAGTTAGGCTAAATTCAACTTATGCCATCATAAGTGACAACCAAACTTTCCCCCCACCTTTTAGACAAGTCTTTTCCTCCAACTGGTCCATTTCCATGTGGTTGGAAGGTGGGGTTGGGGAGATCACTGTTGATATTTTCCTGTAGCTGGAAGGATGCAGTTGGCAGTGATCTCCCAAGGAGCTCATGAGGTTCTGTGGAAGCCTGTTAACAGTTTCACAAGGGACAGGAAAAAAGCTGGAAGCTTCTTTGCTGATCCCATACTCTCTAGCAACACAAAATCACCATGAGAGTGGAGGCCTGTGTAATTTTAAAGGTGGGTAGCTACATCTCCCAGTGCAGGATTGCAGCTAAGTATAGTCATTCCATTCAGATGAGAGCAGAATCTGCAAAATATGTCTCATTGGGAAGCTTAATCACATTGCTACTCCCAACTAGAGTAGACCTATTAAATCCGCTGGCGAGTGGTAAGATGTTGCTGTGAGCTGAGTTTGCTGCATGTAGATATTTTGGAATGATTTGCTCAGAGCTGCGGGAAGAGGTTACTTTCCTGAACTGTTACTCCATGATTCTCCAGTCTGCATGGCCAGTTGTAGCATGTAGCCCAAAATTGGGTAGTCCCAACTAGAGTAGACTGTCTGTATCACTTGCTGAATGGTACATTAACTCATATGTGCTAAATGAGCTAAATAGTGGTTCATTCTCATGTGGTGGGGGACATGATCAGCGGAAAAGGTTCACTGCAGACTCCTCTCCTCCTCCTACCAACATGTGAGGTGTCCTTTGCACTGTCCCTGCAACTGTACTTGCTAAGGGCCTAGAAAGGGTGAGTGTCAACATGGAAATGCACCAGAGTTTCTTGTGCCCACCCACACGACCAGCTGCCAGTGTGCCAGGGCCTGTGCTGCAGATGTCAGCACATGCTGCTGGGCACATTATACAACAGCAGCCACTGCTGAAAAGTCTAAGAAGGCAGGAAACGAGTGGGCAGAAGGCAATGTTGACCTTTATTTCTGCTCCGCAGCCCCCTGGAAAAAAATAGTAATTTTAAAGGATTTTTGTTTAAATGAAAATCACCAGAGAACTAACCCATTTTATTTATGAAGGCCAGCTTCTGCCACATTGTGGTAGAAACCCTAAAGTACAAGACTGAAAGAGGTTTTAGATTAGGCCTTTATCTTTTTACTGCTCTATCTGTTGAATTTTTGAGGATTTTAGAAAATAGCTTGTATTTATTTATTTATCGTGTCATGAGCGAACCAAAACAGTTGTATTGCATTAAAAACAAACAAACAAAACACAAAGTTTGCAGACTTGGTATTCTATTAAATGTCCTTTGACCAGTAGCAGGCCACTTAAGAGTGCCTCTGGTGTTGCTGCAAGAAGGTCCTCCGTTGTGCATGTAGCAGGGCTCAGGTTGCATTGCAGCAGGTGGTCAGTGGTTTGCTCCTCTCCGCACTCGCATGTCGTGGATTCCATTTTGTAGCCCCATTACTTAGTTTGTATTCATAATACTACATTTCAACACACACAAAAATCTATTAAGGAGAAAAAGATGGAATAGTTGAACAGTTCCTCTGAATTACTGGCATGAGAGTAGCTCCCGGTGGCGCAATGAGTTAAACCCTTGTGCTGGCAGAGTTCGAATCCAGGGAGTGTGGTGAGCTCCCGTCTTTCAGTTCCAGCTTCCCATGCAGGGACGTAGGAGAAACCTCCCACAGGATGGGGAAAAAAAATCCAGGCATGCCGTGGGCAATGCCTTGCATCTTTCAGATGGCCAGTTCTCTCACACACACTTGCAGTTTCTCACACCAGAAACAACTTGCAGTTTCTCACACCAGAAGCAACTCAAGTTTCTCCTGACACACACACACACACACACACACACACACACACACAAAACTGGCATGAAAAGCCCTATATCTGAAAAATCTCTGATATTCCTCCTGTTCCTGAAGACCTTTCTTAATAAAGACAAAACATGTGTTCTTCTGGCTACATTTCAGACTTATAAAATACCCTAGGTCTAACATAGCACCCTGGATGCACATACAACTACTAACAGAATTGATTAGATGTTATTAGTCTTATTTTCAATTTTGAGGGGGGTTTTTTTCTGATCCAGGTATCTTTAACAGAACCTTGGAATACCAAAGCAAGTCAAGTTTGTCTAGTCCACTTCTTCTTAAACTGTGGGGTCCCAACCTCAAATAGATGCCCCTATGTTGGGGTCTCAAAAAGGTTTTCTGAACATCACCTACTGGCTGTTTCAGACATTTACATGCATCTGTTTGCAGTGTTTCCAGTGGACTCTGCAGGTGATGTTTCAACTGTGCTTCATAAAAAGGAAAATTAGCCTATTTAGCAAGCATTGCAAATCCTGATTCGTTATTAATAAATGTTTGATTTTTATACTTATTTTATTTAGCTATATATTTGGGATCTTGTAAAAAAAAAAGATCAGGACAAAAGGGGTTCCAGGTGGAAAGGTTTAAAGATACCCTGATCTAGTGCACCCTTGCCATGCAGAAATACACAATTGCAGCACTTGGGTAAAATTTCAACCCGATCTCTGTTTAAAGACCTCCAAAAGAAGGAGAGTCCACTTGCTCTCCTGCCAGTCTTTCCCCACCCTCGATTAGTTCTTGCAGCATAAAGTTTCTCCCTGACATTTAAGTATAATCTCTTTTCATGGAACTTGGATTTTTGAAAAAGCAGAAAATAAGTTAGTCCATCTTCTATGTGACATCCCTTCAGATATGTAAAAATGGCTATTATCATAAGGCTTAGTTTCCAAACGTTCGATCAATTTGGTCACTCTTTGGACATGTTTCACGTTGTCAATATATTTCTTAAATAATGGTGTCCAGAATTGAAAATGGTAGAAATTGAGCATCCCTTATCTGCAATTCCAAATTTGGAATATTTCAAAATCCTAAATTAAAATAAGAGAATCATAGAGTTGGAAGACGCCTCGTGGGCCATCCAGTCCAACCCCCTGCCAAGAAGCAGACAGATAGCCATCCAGCCTCTGTTTAAAAGCCTCCAAGAAGGAGGCTCCACCACACTCCAGGGCAAAGAGCTCCACTGCTGAACATTAGGAAGTTTTTCCTAATTGTCCCAATGGATGGCTTTGAGAGCAACACCTTTGTTTTCTGATGGTTCAATGTTTCATGAAAAAAAATTTATTTAAAATATTGTATCTTTGTGGATAAGGTGTATATAAAACATAAACTTGGATTCCATCTTCAAGATAGCTTGTTATGTATATATATGCAAATATAGGTATTCAAAAATCTGAAAATCAAAGCACCTTCTGATCCCAAGCTTTTCAGATAAGGGGATACTCAAACTGTATATTAATTGAGGTCTGACCAAAGAAGAATAAAGTACCTGAGCCTTGACAAGTGCCAGCTAAGAATCCAATATAGCATCTCTGTCGTGCTCTAGGCTTTAGTTTCAATTTCAAGGAACCATCTAAAAGGTGCTGTATATGTTTGAGACACTCAACTCCTTGAGTGTCTCCTTTGAAGATAAGACTAAGAAATGGAGTGAGCTCACTTGCCCCAATAACTGTGTTGAAAAGAATAGAATAGTGGTATTGTCGAAGGCTTTCATGGCCAGAATCACTGAGAGTTTTCCGGGCTGTATGGCCATGTTTCAGAAGCATTCTCTCCTGACATTTCACAGATATATAAACCCCATTTTCCTAGTTTCCAACAGACCTCACAACTTCTGAGGATGCCTGCCATAGATGCAGGTGAAATGTCAGGAGAAAATGCTTCTGGAACATGGCCATACAGCCCAGAAAACACACAACAACCCAATTGAATAGAGGGTTGGTGTACTGTGGCATTGAAGTAGTCAGCAGTTTCTTCTTTTATAGTAACTCCTCACTTCCTAATTAATAACTCACTTTGCTCAATGCAGTTTTATGCTCTGATGGCAACCTTTATGGTGCCATTCCAGGCAAGAGACTAACCCTTTCCTCCTCCTTAGCTCATTGGCTGCATCATTGGCCGCCAGGGCAGCAAGATCAGTGAGATCCGGCAGATGTCTGGAGCACACATCAAGATCGGGAACCAGACTGAGGGCTCCGCTGAGCGCCATGTGACCATCACAGGCACTCCGGTCAGCATCACTTTGGCTCAGTACCTCATCTCAGCCTGGTAAGGGCCATTATAACTGTTGGTGGTGGGCAGCGGTTGTGGGGAGAGTGATGCAGCACTCACACAGATTTATGAAGATACGTACAGATGTGGAACCTTTCTGCTATGCCCAAACACAGGGCTTAAGTGGTTAACTATTTGGGAATCAAGTTATGACACCTTACACTTTGGTGGGTGAATTGTGTAGTTTGCAAACACTCTGTCTTTGGCTTAATAAACAGGAGTACTAAACATGGCATCATGAAGTGTTCCCATTACTTTGTCATCAGCCTTTCTCACTAATGCTTGTCTTGTCTGCAGTCCAGATGAGAATACCCAGCCTTTATATTTTCACAAGACAAACTGATGCCTTGGCCTATTAGCTGCCATAATTGAGGCATACTTTATCCTGACCTGCCACTGCTTTTTTCCAACTTTTTTTTCTAGCTCCAAGCCACAACAAAACACAAGTCAGACTTACCCAAGAAGAATGGTGAAATTGCTCTACTTTATCAAAGAGATAGCCACATTTAAGTAGAGTATAGAAAGATATTGCAATTTCTTGCTGTGATGCCTTCAGACATTTCCAATTCTACGAGACTTGGATCAGGAAAAATCCTTCATATTCCCTTGGTGACTGCCATTTGGGGGCACCGATTCTAAAAACACACTGTGTCATTGAAAGACACATTTTTCCTGTTTAAATTGGTTTTCCTGTTGGAATAACTCATTTCAATTTTCAGTATGTCAGCATATTCAAGAAACCGCACAAAGCTGGAGGAGAATCACACATACCACACCCCTTGCAATGAGAAAACAGATAAATAATACTGTGGCTATTATTTCAAGTGAATTACCCAGGAAAGTCAGGAAGGGAAAAAGGCTGATATGATATGGAGTGGTAGAACTGTGTAAACAGGGTCCACTACAAAGTGACCTTAGAATGTGTTGTCTAAGGCTTTCATGGTCAGAATCACCGGGTTGCTGTGAGTTTTCCGGGTTGTATGGCCATGTTCCAGAAGCATTCTCTCCTGACATTTCTCTCACATCTATGGCAGTCATCCTCAGAGGTTGTGAGGTATATTGGAAACTAAGCAAGGGAGGTTTATATATCTGTGGAAGGGTGGGAGAAATATGTCTTGTTTGTTGCAGGCAAGTGTGAATGTTGCAATCAATCACCTTGATTAGGATTAAAAAGCCTTGCAGCTTCAAGGTCTGGCTGATTCCTTCCTGGGGGAAATCCTTTGTTTATCCAATAAATAAAGAACAACACTCTGAAAGCAGGGGAAATCCAGACTTAAAACAATCAGAGCCAGCAAACACCTACCAAAAAAGGATTCCCCCAGGCAGGAATCAGCCAGGCCTTGAAGCTGCAAGGCTTTGCAATGGTAAGCAAGGTGATCAATTGAGACATTCACACTTGCCTCCAACAGACAAGAGTTCTTTCTCCCATCCTGGACCTTCTACAGATGTATAAACTCCCTTGCTTAGGTTAACTCACAACCTCTGAGGATGCCTGCCATAGATGTGAGTGAAACATCAGGAGAGAATGCATCTGGAACATAGCCATACAGCCCAGAAAACTCACAGCAACCCAGACCTTAAAATAGGAGCTTTGATCTTCCCCTTTCCAATACTGGCTGACACTCTCCCTACTTTATGGAGGAGTTTTCAAAGGTATAAACATAGTCTTGCTGAAGAGGATTGTGGAGGAGAAAACATTATCTGGATGTAGAAAATATATCCTGAGCATCTTGTCACCTGCTGTCGTCTCTGTGTGTGCCTGTTCTTTGCACATATCATTATGCATGCCAATGCAAACACATGTCTGTGTGTTCTAGTTGCATATGCATACTTGTATGTGTCATGCAAACTGCACATGGTCACACCTATGCTGCGCAAGGCTGTATACGGTGGAACGCATACACCGAAGTATGTATCCGCACCTGTCTGCATTTGTGTATGTGAATGTGTATGCCATGCATGGATCTCATTCTTTTTCCCTTCTTGTTCTCCAGTTTAGAGACGGCCAAATCTACCTCCCAGACGCCCCCCGTTGACCTCGGCATGACTTTCTCCCAGCCCCTCACCCCTTCGCCAGCCCCAACACTGACCGCAGTGGCCGCACCTCCCCCAGCCTTGCTTGGCGCTCCCTATGCCATCTCCCTCTCCAACTTCATCGGCTTGAAACCCGTCCCCTTCTTGACGCTGCCCCCTTCCTCAGCCGCGGGGCACAATGGCAGCCTTGCCACCTACACGACCAAGATCTCCACAGCCAATGCCAGCAAGAAGGCTGAGAGACAGAAGTTCTCCCCATACTGAAACAGGAAAGTGGGCTATGGGCCAGGGAGGGGGAGAGCTTGGTTAGAGGGCATCAGCATCAGGCCACTCCAAAGCAGGACTCCATGGGGAAGGAGTAAGTAAGGTGTGTGAGAAGGGAAAGCCAATTGTACATGAAAGTAAAGTTGGGAGAGGATATAACCTGGACAGCTGCTTGAGCATTGTGCTCATGAATACTCAGCCAGAGAAATGGTTCTTCTGCCTCCATGGGTCTCAGCTGCTCTTGCACCTGAGATCTGTGCAGTGAGTAGAACCTCTGAGTTTCATAGTATTACCTCTCTTGTACAATGTCCGCCCCATGCTCAGGAGTGTTATTTTCCCCTTTACCTTCCCTAAACCTATCAGATCTCTCTCAGGAAGGATCCCAACGTATTTTTAAAGGAATACTTACATTAGACAATTTGACAATATCCCTTCCCACACAATTCTTTGAATTATACTAAAGGAGTTTGAAAACACGGGAAAAGTCTTTTCTTAATTAAGGCAGTAGGTGGTACTCACTAGACTTGTGGTGATGATAGTTGGAAGTATTCTGCTGTGTCTCATGAACTGCATTTCTCAAGAGCAGAACTCAAAAGGTTTCTGGTTCGCATAGAACTGGAAATGGGATATGCCCCAGATACAATGTAATTACTAAGAAGTAAAGTCTTTGATGCTTTGTCCCTGGCACATTATTGCAGTCTCGTGTCTCACTATAGCTAAATAAGGAAATGGGGAAATAAATGCTTTCACAACATACAACCAGGTGCTCAATGGCAATCCTCTCCAGCCACCTGCTGTCCTCCAGTTGAAGTGGATTGTGAGTCCCATTATCTCCATCAGCTTTCTGGGGATTGTGGAAGTTGTAGTTCCATAAAGTTGGGAGAAGTGGCAGGATGAGGGAAAGTTCTGGAATTGTACCTCTTACTAGAAAATTACTACAAGAACAAAGAGTGGAATGGTACACTCTCACCAAACATTCTGTTAAATTGACAGGGCCTGGCATAGCAACTGTAGTCCCATGTTTGGCTTTCCATATTATAAAAATGAACAATGACTAATCTGAAATACTCTGGATTAGAGCTTTCAGCACTGGATGCCAATCTCAGCTGCTCACTTTGTAAGTGGGTGACATCAGTTCCTCTGTTTATTTGATGGAAGATTCCTCAGGATATCTCTCATTGGCAGGATATGTAAGATATTGTCTTGCCAATTAAGTACCGTTGAATTTATTAGAATGTTGATGTCTCCTGTAAGTGCTCACAAATTTGTTTTGATCTCTTACAGGCCAGTCCTAAGTATATTTGCTCAAAAATAGCCGCATTGCATTCAGTGAAGCTTATTCCCTCTGAGTACTGAAAGCTACCTTATTACTGGACAACACCATAAATCCATCTAGCTTGCAGGAGGGGGGAGTACTTTGTAGGCTGAATAGAGTTTCCCAACACCATTTTGGTGTCCCAGCATTTTGTGAAGAAGTTGAGGGGAGGGCATTGCCACAAAACATTGCCACCAAGGTACATGCATATGTATTAATTTCTCCATCTCAGGGGTGAGCAACTACACAGGGGTAGCTTTTCTAGTGTTTGCACCAGCTTTCTAATTCAACCAAAAGATGGTGCATCACTTCCAACTGCATTGTTGGTTGATTTTTTTGGGGGATGGGGAGAGATCTTGGTAGGTCACATAATTACATTTCCATATTTTGTAGTGATTTTTGAGGCATTTGGAGTAAATTTTGATTTAAAATATTTGCCATTAGAAATTGTGGGGAGCATGGGATCCACTTTGGTACACCATGTTTTTTCCCTCTTGACAGGTGGGTTCGCAAACCCTAACAGTTGCCTGCCTTTGATCCAACTCAATATTATCTAGATTGATAAGCAACAATCTATGACTTAAGTAGGCATTATTCCCAGTTGTACCTGGAGATGCTAGGGACTGGATTTGTGACGTCCTTTGTACAAAGCATGAGCACTACCAGCAAACCTCTCTCAAGGGGGATTCACTCGCAAGTGGGGAAACGATAGCAGCTTTAGTGATTTAATACATTCTGCCACATTTCACTCACTGAAAAGGTTTGTCCTTGTCAGCCCTTGGTTATCATTATCATAAGGATGCTTGTGTGAGTGAAGAGGTGGCACCCAGAGACCTCAGGTTGAAGCAGATGACTATTCTAATTATACTTCTGATCAGTATTACTGACCAGTCTGTCTGGAACTGGCACTTGAGACCTCGATAGGCTGTCATCCTAACAGCGGATCTTGTAATTCACATTGCTACATTCAGTAATTATATCCCAATAGATTAAATGTACCATATAGACAAGGTCGGTTTGTTAGATGATTTGTAAATTGGTAGCTTTATTGACATGGGTTCTGATTGCCATCCCGTATAAATGGGCATGTTGTGTTGCTTTGTTCAAATACTGCTGCATTAACTGCAGGCTACCTTTGTAAAGCAAATTATAACTGCGGATTATCTTTGTATAGCAATGTGACTGCTGGATGAATCGGGAAAACTGGTTGAAAAGCAACAATATTGAATTTGGCTTTTCCTGGTGAACTCTGCCCACTCTGCTGCCTACAGCCACTTGGTATGTTATAGTCAACTGCTGTTGGCAATGTCTCAACAGTCACAACGTATCCCCTTTTCAACTACATCCTGTTCTTTCTCTGGCCTCTCTGGGAATCACGAGTAATGTAAAACCTTTACTGCATTGGACTCATTCCTTTGGATTACAATGCCAAAGATATCAGGAAAAATAAGAGCAGAGCTTAGAAGTTACTTTTAAGAAAATAGCATGCCGAACCTATCCACAGCTGAGCTATGAGACTCAAGCCATCATCAACATACTGTCCATTTATGCATAGCTTCAGCCTGTTGTGTTTATATTTTGTAAAAACCATTTCAAATTCTGACAAAAGTCAGGCTGAAAAGGGCAAAACTGTTGGATTCACTTAGTAATTCATACCCATGTAACCAGGTAGAATATAGATGGAAACATTTTGACCTTCCATATGTTGCAAATTTCAGCATGACTGGAGTAAAGGATCATGGGGGCTGAAGTCTGCAACACCTTGGAAGACCAATGGTTTCCTACCCTTGATTTTGAGAAGCAAGATCTCATGGTATCTATGTTTGCCAACAGATTTTCCCTCTGTAATGAAATAGCTTTGGTGGTCTTGAATAGCCACCACAGATGAAAGATGAATGTGTAGTCCATAAATATAATGCAAGGCAGGGCAGGTGGGGTAATATATAGCCTGTCACATAGTTTCAATATTATTTTTATTCCCAGCACCATTGAAATTTGGTAACAAACTCCACTGTCAATTTTGGGCCAAAAAACAAACAAACCCTGTTTTGCAGAAAAAGGAAATGCTCATTTTAAAAAGGGTTATCGTGGACTACTGCCACAATACATCAACATACTACAACTTCCTGGCCTTAAAAGTAGTATGTTCTACATGCTTTAAATCAATTATATCCATTTGGCTGCTGAAATTTCATAGGGCGGTCAGCAGGGATATAGACCATCAAAGGCGGATGGGGAGGGGAATTGTTTCCAGATCCACTGAAGTTGCCCATCAGATTCTTTGAGTCAGATTCTCAGATGATGTACCTCAATACTGCTGCATATCAATATTTTGATCCCACAAGAAAGGAATGGAACCAATATTTTCTACTGCAAATCAACCAGTTTTGGCATCGTACCCCAGCTGGTACAAAACTCTCTTGTTCTTCCTGTGTGACTTGCAAAATACTCCTACCTTTCCTTGCCGCTTGGAGGAATCCCCACCCCCACCCCCAAATCCTCTTTGGCTTGTCTTTGAAAATGCTGTACATATAATTCTATATTTTTCCTCCTTTGTAACTTATCATTGATTTAATAAAAATGCAAACTCTGCCTGTTTAGAGGTAATGTGATTACATTCTTTAAACCTTTGAATCAAGAAAGAAAATGTTTCCAAAACGGACAATTGGGTTGGATGGTTTAGTAAAATGGGGTGCTGAAAGATAAAACTTTTGTATTGTTTTACCTAAAAAAATGATGTTGGCTCGAATTTCCAGATCTTCTTGTGACAGATGGGCTTCTCCATGACAAGACATCATCAACTGTCAAGTTTGTATTGAAAGTATGGAAAATACTACAGAGTTTTTCCCTTTTTCGGGAAATTCAAAAGAACAAAATCCCCACTAGCAAAAAATGTGGCTTTACGCAGCACATTCAGATTGCATTTTTTTTAGTGATTCAGAATAAATATCACTTACTGATGGTGTCCTGATCCTGGGTAAGGCAAATCAGAGCCATGGCTGAATTCACACCTGTGAAACAATTTGTTCTTACCTCAATCCTAGTCTTGTTTGAACAGATAACATTCCTCTATTTTCAAAGTGAAAGCAGTTTTTTTAGATAGATGCCTGAAGGCTCTCTTGGAAAAATACATTGCCTGCAGCCTGGACCAGGGCAGAATGCTTACCTAAACATCCGCATTCAGTATGAGTGATATTGCTCCCTTTTTTCAGTTCAGCATATATACAGTTGGTGGATATCTGTATATTTAAAGCAGTGGTTGTTGACCTGTGGGCTGCAAGCCTCCAGTAGGCTGCAAGGACAAAAATCTGATCCGCGAACCTATTTATTTATTTATTTATTTATTTATTTATTTATATTGATTTTATTTCCACTCGTTTCACACCACCTGCCACTCCTTCCCTGTCACTGGCCATGGCATATGTTCTGTATCAGAAACTAGAGGTGATGTGATCTATCCAATGCAATTTTCTGAATCTGCATCCCAAACCGAATCTAAAGTTGACCAAAAACTGATTTGTAACCCTTTTGGTACCAATGTTGAGAGTGGTCCCTGGTCAATAAAAAAAGGTAGGGAACCACTGATTTAATGGTAGCACAGTGTTTGGACTGCTTGGGGTTCTTGGAGACCATAGTTTTTCCTCAGGAAGGAAAAGATAGGGTGAGCGGGGAGAAGAATAAGCCAAGTAGGAAAGCAGGGCTCAAGTTGGGAACAATCCGGGATCTATATGCCCCCTGAAGGACCTCCCACATTGGGACTGATGTTGATGTTGGCCCAACAGAGGCATCTTCCGATGGAATGAATGCATTTTCGAACCCCCCTTCAAATCCATTTAAATCTGCTTCAGTGCAAATCTATTTAGGATAGGAGAGGGAGGACACTTTTTAAAAATGGGAGTTATATTTTATTAAACTCAATGGGAATTTAATTTTGGATACTACTAAAGATGTCTTGGGTCAGGTAATACTTCTACACATATTTACTTGGAGTGAAGTTCACTGTCACAGGCACTTACATCAACCTAAGGGCCAAAGGAAAAACAATGATTTGTGCTTCTGATCTATCATTAATTAACAGTGCAATTGGATATGTACATATACAGAACTACGTCCAGCTGAGTTGAGATGGGGCAAAGGATTGCAGTTTTATTGGACAATAAATTGTGTTGGGGTTCAACAGCCTCCCTTCTGCTTTGAGTTGTGTTTAGAACTTTAAAATACTCTTCCTGTTAATATTTCCTCAGTCTCCTGTACTCCAACACCCTGGTGCCATTGGGAATTCTTTGATATTCAGATTAAAGAAAAACAAAGGCAATTGGAGTTTAAGAATGGAATGTGCCACAATTGCTAGGAATTGCCAGCGAATTGTCCACAATAACATTTAGATAATGTTTTAAAACAAAAAACAAACCAAATCTACAAATATCACAACTTCCAGTGGCATTTGCACCTGTTTATTTCAAGTAATATTTCAGAGGAAGGAAATGGAAAAAGCACCGCTGGAGATTCCTGGCCTAAGAAAACCACATGAAATGCATAGGGTTGGTATAAGTCACATACACATATAGCAAGAAAACAAGAAAAAGTTTGGTAATGTCTGTATACTTCTGGCTAGAAAATAAAACAGCTCTCTTTTTTCTTATCAGAAACCAAAGCAGGCACATAATTTGGTATGTACTATAGAATTAAAGAATTGGAAAATGTGGCAAAAGGGACTAAAATATACATTTTCCAATCATGTTAAAGAGAATGCTTACAAAGTGATGTTTAGATGGCATTTAAGTGCACACCCCCTCCCCCCATATCAAAAATGTATAAAGGAGCAAATAACAAATGTTGGGAATGTAAAGTTCATAAAGGGTCCTACATGATAAGCTTCAGACTAGAATTCATACTACTAGGATGATCAAATAACAAAGGACAATGAATGAATACTGCAGTACATGTTAACAGTGGCAAAAAAAAATCCTATCTTCAACAATGGAAAAAGACAGAACGCCAGCTATAGAAGATGGGACAGTGAAGATGTGGGAACTAATAGAACTGGATAAATTAACAATTTTGTTGAGGAATTTATCACTGGGCACATTCTTAAAAGAATTTTATGAATATAAGGTAAAGGTTTTCCCCGACATTAAGTCTAGTCGTGTCTGACTCTGGGGGTTGGCACTCATCTTCATTTCTAAGCCGAAGAAAGGGCATTGCCCGTACACACCTCCAAGGTCATGTGGCTAGCATGAATGCATGGAGTACCGTTACCTTCCCGCCAGAGGTACCTATTGATCTACTCACATTTGCATGTTTTCGAACTGCTAGGTCGGCAAAAGCTGGGGCTAACAGCAGCAACTCACCCTGCTCCCCGGATTCAATCCACCAACCTTTCGGCCAGCAAGTTCAGCAGCTCAGCGGTTTAACCCGTTGTGCCACTGAAAGAAAAACGCTTTGGAGATATGACCTTTTGGGATATTCATGTGCTAATATAAATATCAGCAGAAGTAAATAATTTGCTTGATATAAGAGAAAGCCTTTGACTGTGTGGATCATAATAAATTGTGGCAAGTTCTTGGTGGGATGGGCATACCAAGCCACCTTGTCTCTCTCCTGAGGAATCTGTACAAGGACCAAGTAGCAACAGTAAGAACTGACCATGGAACAACAGACTGGTTCAAGATTGCGAAAGGCGTACGGCAAGGCTGCATACTCTCACCCAACCTTTTTAACTTGTATGCAGAACACATCATGCGATGTGCGGGGCTTGATGAATGCAAAGCTGGGGTGAAAATTGCTGGAAGAAACATTAACAACCTCAGATATGCAGATGACACTACTCTGATGGCCGAAAGCGAGGAGGAGCTGAGGAGCCTCCTAATCAAGGTGAAAGAAGAAAGCGCAAAAGCTGGGTTGCAGCTAAACATCAAAAAAACCAAGATTATGGCAACAAGAATGATTGACAACTGGAAAATAGAGGGAGAAAATGTGGAGGCCGTGACAGACTTTGTATTTCTAGGCGCAAAGATTACTGCAGATGCAGACTGTGGCCAGGAAATCAGAAGACGCTTACTTCTTGGGAGGAGAGCAATGTCCAGTCTCGATAAAATAGTAAAGAGTAGAGACATCACACTGGCAACAAAGATCCACCTAGTCAAAGCCATGGTATTCCCTGTAGTAACCTACGGATGTGAGAGCTGGACCTTAGGGAAGGCTGAGCGAAGGAAGATAGATGCTTTTGAACTGTGGTGTTGGAGGAAAGTTCTGAGAGTGCCTTGGACTGCGAGAAGATCCAACCAGTCCATCCTCCAGGAAATAAAGCCAGACTGCTCATTGGAGGGAAGGATACTAGAGACAAAGTTGAAGTACTTTGGCCACATCATGAGGAGACAGCAAAGCCTAGAGAAGACAATTATGCTGGGGAAAGTGGAAGGAAAAAGGAAGAGGGGCCGACCAAGGGCAAGATGGATGGATGGCATCCTTGAAGTGACTGGACTGACCTTGAAGGAGCTGGGGGTGGTGACAGCCGATAGGGTGCTCTGGCGTGGGCTGGTCCATGAGATCACGAAGAGTCGGAGATGACTGAACGAATGAACAACAAAAAGAGAAATCTTAAAACTATAGAGAAAACTTCAAAAGGCAATTTTTTGGCAAAAGGAGGCAGTCCTTTTTAAAACTGGTTTATGTATGTATGTTTCTATTTTAGAATTATATGTAATTAGAGTAGGGATGTATGTTTGTAGGAGAAAATGTAGCTGTTGTTTAAGTATGTTTTTGTGTATGTATATATCAGTGGTTCCCAACCTGTGGTCTGTGGACCACCAGTGGTCCACAAGAACGAAAATATGGCCTGTGGCCTCACCATTACTATCCTGTTGCCTTGAAACCACACGGCAATGAGAGCGACTGATCTTGCGAAACCCTCTTATAGTGCCGAGGCAACAGGGATGTCAGGAGGAAAGAGACTGACTACCCACGAAGGATTACTACTAACACATTAGCTCTAGATGATTAAATATGGTTTTCTGTGGGCAAGCAGATGGCGACTACTGGATGGCATATGTTCTGTATCAGAAACTAGAGCTGATGTGGTCTTTTCAATGCAATTTTCTGAATCAGCACCTCAAACAACCAAACCATATCTAAAGTTGACCAAAAACTGATTTGTGACCCTTGTGGTACTAATGTTTATTTATGATTTATGTACAGTATTTATATACCGCTTTTCTCACCCCGGGGGGGGGGGGGGAGACTCAAAGCAGTTTACACAGAAAGAGTGGCAAAATTCAATGCCTTACAAACATACACCAATTACAATGTTGAGAGTGGTCCCTGATGAAATTGTCCCTGGTGAAATACAGGTTGGGAACTACTGGAATATATGCATAAGTATTGTTGTTTTCTTTAGTTGCACTTTTTACATTAAGAATTGGAAGTTTTTAAAAATCCATAAGTTCACAGGGGACTTGGTGGCACACATACACACACATTGTGCCCTCAGCCAGTCCACGTGGAATGAACACAGCCTGTTGCTGTGCGAATAATCATTTTTAAAAAGCAAGAGCTCTCCTTTAGACTTTTGGTTGCTACAGCAACTGCAAAAGGGCTGTTTACTTGCT